TCCCCCTTCTCCACCATTCATGCTCTAACACCTGGCAGTGATCCACAGTAGTGCACAGAAACCCTCCTCATCTAGCTTGGGTTCTGACGTTTGTTCTGATCCCCCCCCCCCCCGTGTCAGTGTAGATGACCCCCTGACCCTGCCTGGGCCCTGACACCTCTGACTGGGCACTGCAGCTACCCTCTCAGCCTCCTGGGTATGGGCACCTACCTTGCTCAGCCCAACTTAAGGCTTTATGATCAACCTATTCAGAAAGGGAAGGGATGGAACAGGATAAACAGGAGGAAAGGGACAGGAGGGTGTTAACTAGATTTTTTTTTTTAATAACCAAGTCATTTCATTCTCTAACCAAGCAAAAGAAGGAAGCCACTGATAGTTTGACAGTTATATACAAGATTCCCTAAGAGAGTCTACCAAAAACACACTAAATAGAAGTAAAAGATCAATTACTTGTTAATTTTACCTTTATATATGACTTTGAAGTACCTTAAAGAGTAATAGCAACAGGTCATTGTGCTGTAATGGTTGGATTTTCATTAATGTAAATATTGTACCTTTCATTTATAAATCCTTTAGAATTTATAAAGTACTTTTATACATCATGAATTTTATTCACAATGATACTTCTGTGGAGAAGGCAGGATAGGAACAACTTTTTTTCTCTCCATGTTAATGTCATGGAAACTGAGGAACAATGAGCTGAAAATAATTGCCAATGTCATGGGGCTAATAAAAGCAGAACCAGTAGAATCCAGTACTTTTGACATTTAATCCAGAATTCTTTTTTCATAGTACTGGTGGTTTTCACTCTTCAGGCAAGAGCCTCTTTGCAAAAGAATCTATGATTCTCTTTTGCTGAACCATTTAAAAGCAAGTCCCAAATATAATATTATTTCACCCCTAAATACTTTAGTATAAATCTGAAAGACTTAAAAACACAACAATACCATGTAATGCTAACAGTGTTTCTTAGTATCATAACTAGTTCATGTTCAAACTTTGCAGGTGTTTCAAAAAATATTTTTTGTTGTTGTTTTTTTTAGCTGAGCCATCCTGCCACCTGTTGGCAGCTCATTGGCAGCTCATCTCGGGCCGGGCATCGAACTGCTGTTGCTCAGAGCTCAAACTCTTGAGTAAGCTCTTATCCAACTGAGCCACTAGGCCGGCTCTCAAAAAATATTTTTTACAGTTGATTTGCTTAAATCAGGATCCAAACAAGGTCTATCTGTTGCATCTTTCTAGTCTTTTTTATTCTTCTTAGTCTTTTTTAATGTTAACAGTCCCCTTCCTTTTTGCCATTTATTTATTGATAAAACTTATTCATTTGTCCTATAGAATTTCCCGTGCTCAAACTTGGTTCATTGTTTCCTAGTGGTATTTAACTTGTTCCTTTATTATTTCTTTTGTTTACTTTTTTTATTGGGGAACAGTGTATTTTTCCCAGGATCCATCAGCTCCAAGTCCAGTCACCATCTATT